AGTCAGGCAAAGTGGCCAAGCCTATAATCCCAACACTTAGTACACAGAAGACAGGATTGCCTCAAACTCCGTGCCATCCTGGCCCATATACTGAGTGTCAGGCTAGTCAGGACTACATTAAACCAACCAACCAACCGACCGACTCATCCCACAGACAAAAACCCCAAACGGTCAGAGGTGATAAAACATGACCACTCTCCCAGCACTTGGGAGATACAGACAAAAATATCAGGAGTTCAAGATTATCTTCAGCAAAACAGAGTTCTAGGTCACTCTAAACTATATATGACACTGACTTAAAACCAAATCAGACCCTTCAAGTCAAAGCAAAAATTTTAAAAAAAACTTATACATAAAAATTAGGAAATACATTTACTGCACAGGAAATCATAATAAGTTTTGTAACATGAGCATTATCATACTGAAATGGCACTGAGGTGTTGTGGCATTTCATTTGTATTTTAATAATAAAACATGCCTGAGGATCAGAGGGTAAAATGGCCCCAGTGGTCAGCATTACAGACCAGGTAGTGGTAACACACGCCTTTTATCCCAGTAACCACACTAGTTTGCCATAGAAACCAGTCGGTGCATGCCTTTAATCCCAGTGGTGCACGCCTTTAATCCCAGCCCTAGAGAGAATTGTAGAACAGAAGGAAACAACTCTCAGTCTCAGTCTCATTCTGAGATTCCTGCGGGCAGGACTGCCATTTTCAGACTGAGGTCGAGGTGAGAGCTAATGGCTGACTGTTTTGCTTCTCGGCTTTTCAGGTTAGTTTTATTTATGAAGATACAAGTGAAATGCCTTTACACTGAAGATCTTAAGGCACAAGCATTAAAACAAAACTTCTTTGGAACAATACATAAAGCTGTCTTCACTTTCCAAAAACTTGCGATCACTTTTATCACTACGTACGCTTAATATTTAAGGTCATCACACAAATGTAAAACAATATAAAACACATGAATGTTTCATTTAGATGAAAACTCAACAGTCACTTATTCTTAGTGAAATTTTCATTATTTTAACAACATGAAAGTCATTAAAGATGTTCACGAGAAAACGTGCCCTGGGTGGGTATGACATCATACTGAGAGACTTTTAAAGGTGAGTGGGAAGTCGGGAAGAAAAAGGATAGTATGCATAGGCCATTGAGCTGCAAAGGGTATCTAAATAATAGAGCACGGCTCTTATTTTCACTGTGGATTTTGATAAGGACTTTTGTCCTAGATATACAAATAGTTGGGAGGAGATATATGGCTCTTAAGGCAAGAGAGACAGAGAGAATGGAATCGTGCAGGAGAGTCAAGTCTTTGAGAAAGAGAGAGAAGAGGGCAGAGACATCTCCCTTGAAGAGCAAGAAAATACGAAGGGACAGTCCGTACAGTCAGCAGGACTGCTCAAACTCAGGGGCTTTTCTTTTCTACAGAGATGTAGGAAATGGAGTGATGGGTTGTGGAGTACATTGCAAAAGCAAGGAGGGATTCGCAGTGGGTTTTGAGCAGAAAGCGCCATAGGATCAAAGTGGGGACTGGTTGATCAAGTCTGTGTTGAATGTTAATTTGACAAAGAAGCTCACTTATTGGAAATGTAATTGTTCACTAGCTATGAGAATTTCTCCTCCAAAATTCAGTCATTTGGAAAATGGGTATTTGCGTAGGTTGGAATTCTGCTAGGTTACTATGGTAAACAGAAAGATGCATGGAAATTGAAATAGTCCTAGAGGAAGATGATAATGGGTGTCTATAAATTTAAGCTGGACAAAGAAAGGGGTGAGTGTAACAGCAGTTGCTAGATCCTGAGAGTTGATGCAACAAGGGGAGCAGCCTTCTTGAGGAGATGGCTAGCAAAAAAGCCACACAGGAGTCCCGAACACAACACCCTTCAAATGCTTTCTTGATCCTGTATACAAGCAGAGTTTTTAGAGAGCTGAAAAGCAGAATTTTCAAAATTTATCAAATACACAAACTCACCACATAAACAGAATTTATGGTCCCCCTGGTTATCACTTGCTATGATAATGTGGATGTTCATGAAACACCCTTTGCTGCTACAGATGAAAATAAACTCTGCATTTCTGACCTAAGCTTCCAGCAACTCCTGAGCAATACAATCTGTGTTGAGCTAAGTAGGATGCTTTATAAGAAAAAGTGAACAGTTGCAGCTTTGCATGTTTGACTTCTTTTACTACCACAGTATTTCACCTTGGGTATATTCATTCTTTGTTTCCTTGTGCTTTGAAATAATATTAAATTTTACTTATGTACGGTATTTTACACACATATAGTATTTTTTTTTTTATATTCACTAGTTGGTAGAGATTTCTGCCACTTGTCGGATTTGTGATCATTATGACCAAATGTCTGAAGCAACAACCTAAAGGAAAGAAAGATTCACTGGGCTTTTGGCTTCAGATCTCTCAGGGTGTGGTCCTTGATTATAAAGGTTATCAGTTGATGGTGGGCAGACCGTCTTAGCAGCAGAATCATGCTAGTCAGAGATGCTCAACTCTTAACTACCAGGAAGGAGAATAATCTATAAGAGCAAGGGGAGAGAAGATACAACAGGACAAATTTCCAACCCCAGTGACTTATTTCTCCAAACAAGCCCCACAGACCACATTCATCCACCTTTCTACAGTCAGTTCAAGATTTTAGTGCATGAATGAATTAAACCAGTCTTTAGGTCAGAGTCTCATTACCTAACTGTCTTTGGAAACACTTTGAGGCACACAAAGAAATGTGCTTAATCTCATAAGCATCCTTGATCACTCAGTAGTGTCGTGAACATGAAATGTTTATATGTACCTGTTTCTTCCTTTTTTTTGACCTAGACCAAATCTCATGTATCTCAGAACTGGCACTGAATTCCCTTTACTTATAACTTTGAACTTCTGATTCCCCATCTCTTAAGTGCTGGGGTTAAAGTATGACCCACCATACCTCATTTATGCAATGCTGTGCATCAGATTTGGGGTTTCATGTGTGCTGGACAAGCATTCTACTCACTGAGCTCCGTTCACAAGTCTTGAAATCTATTTTAAATTCTCACTGTGTAGCCTGTGGTTAAATTCATGAGTCATGGTTGTATCGGCTCATGAATCACTTTCAGAATCATTTATTTTAGATTTTATAGAATGATGACTTTCTCTTTCCTGGCCATTTCTCCGTTCCTTTAGATCTTAAAATTATATTCTCTTGGGAACAATTAGCCCACAAATTCAGTAGCTATTTAGAAATAACTGTGATGTGCTCTACAAAAGCAAGGTGAGCTAGATGCCTTGCTAAACCTTTCATCATGCCTGTTGAATTAAATGGAAGTCTGGTAGTGTGAGAGTTCAGGTAGTCCTAGAGCCTCTTCCTATGATTTGGCTCCTCAGTGACCGCTAAATATTCCTTGGTAATTTTATGGCTAATCACTAGGTAATCTTTCCTCATCAAAATGTCATGTAGGATTCTGTGTGGAAAAAGATATCACAAGAGCCACATTTAGTAGTCCATGTCTATCATCTCCACTCTTAGGAGACAGAGGTAAGGGTGTGAGTTTGAGACAAGATTGGGTTACATCAGGCTTTATGTAAACCTTAAATACACGGCAAAAACCTTATATAAAAATCCCAACGTAAATAGATAAACATACAAAAAAAGGGATAGAATTACACCTTTTCTTGACTGAGCATGGGATTTTTCATTCAAAGCTATTTATTTCTCACTAAGTAAGATCTTTTCCAGTTTTGCTTGTGTCTTATAAGTCAAACAAGGAGCTGGGTGTGAGCCAGTTGGTCAATCTCCTTTGAAATGAAATGATAGTTTAATGAGAGTAGTGCTTGTCCTGCAGTGATCAGTTTGTGTGAAACTTCGTTATTGCTCTTTCTGAAAGTCATATATATGGATTATTTAAAAACTCCATAGATATTTCAAACTATAATCCACAAATGTAGCATCCAAAGCAGTAACATAACTTAATTGTATAGGAAGCTGTAGAAGCAATACCCAAGTATAAGAAGATGCAATTTCAAAATCTTTTTTAAATTTTTTAAACTTTTTTTTATTTTACATACCAACCACAGTTCCCCCTTCCTCCTCTCCTCCTTCTCCCCCACCCCTTTTCCCAACCCAAGCCCCGATCCATTCCTCAGAAAGCATAAGGCCTCCCATAAAGAGTCAACAAAGTCTGACAAATCAAGTTGGGGCAGGACCAAGCCCCTATCCCCTGTATCTAGGCTAAACAAGGTCCTTAGGGAATGGATCCCAAAAAAGCCAGTTCATGCACTGGGGATAAATCCTGATTCCACTGCCAGTGTCCCCACAGACTGTCCCAGCCACACAACTGTCACCCGCATTCCTATGCGGGTTCCCTAGCTATCAGTCGAGAGTCAGTGAGCTTCCACTAGCTGTCTCTGTGGGTTCCCCAACGTGATCTTGATTCTCTCTTAGACTGGCCACTTGGAGCTCAGATCGAAGTTTAGCTGTAGATCTCTGCATCTGCTTTCATAAGCTACTGAATGAAGGTTATGTAATGACAATAAGGGTGGTCTTCAATCCGAATACAGGGGAAGGCCAGTTCAGGCACCCTCTCCACTATTGCTAGGAGTCTTGGCTGGGGTCATCCTTGCGGATTCCTGCAAAGTTTCCCTAGCACCAGATTTCTCCCTAATGCCATAATGGCTCCTTCTATCAGATAACTCTTTCCGTGCTCTCATTCTCTGTCCCTCCCCCAACTCACCCATCCCATTCCATTATCACTACAAATCCAATAATCACAATGTTCATTACTGTTGTTTTGAGCCAAATGGGAATTTGAACCCTTTTAAAAAAGAATGGAATTATTTGCAGGTATGGAAATACCATAGTGAAATCTATATTTTATAAAATTAACACTCATAAAAATGCTAGGATTTGGAAGTGATGATGTAAGCCTTAGTCCTTCATGTATGTAATTCGAAGACTGAGTTGCCTTCCAGTCATATCAGGAAGTCTTAACACTGAATGATGAAGAAAACAGGAAATCCTTTACTAAGAAAAATGGGGATAAAGGGCACCAGGAAAGAGCTAAGGTGAAAAATAGAAGTTGTTATAATTATTAAACTCTCAACATTTAGAACTTCCCAAGTTCTATAGATACTGCTTTGTGGGTGAAGAAGAGGATTTTGTAAAATAAATTGTATCCATTTGCAGTATTGTGTAATTGATTCTTTTGTTTCAGGTGTAGTACCTTAAGATGCAGTTTAGAGCTTCTTTCTTCTTTGTCTCCTCTTCTCTCTTCTTTTCACCTCCCCTCCTTTCGTTCTCAGCTCTACCTTCGCTCAGAAAAGCTTCCTAAAACCTGCAGCCTTGAATAGAATTTTAAAAACAGTTAACAAAAGGTGACTGTGTCTCTTCAAACCCCATCTTCATCACTGGTGCCTTACATACATTTCACCTGTCCCCAGCAATAGTTGCTACCTACTGTATTCCATGCCTAGTTCATATCTAAGAATTCTTGAACCTGTTACTACATCCATGTTACTCCACTATCAACATATATCTTAAAGGGTGATCACAATGGCGTTTCAACATCAAAGAATGGTTTCTTTGTGAAATCCCATCCGCTTAGAATTTCCTAACACATTTTTTAATTGTTTTAGTATATTTTCATTAGATCAGTTATAACTCTCTATTTCTTTTTTTTTTAATGTTATGATTAAATTGGTTTAAATGAAATAAAAGTCAGTTTAGTTCAAGGTCTCAGAAGTTTTGGTCCATGGTTACTTAGCCTTGTTGTCTCTGAATCTGTGGTAAGGCAGAGCTTTAAAATAACGGTATGTTCAAAGACTACTCATCTTGTGGTAGCCAGGAGGTAGAAAGAGAAAAGGGGAGCTGGAGGAAGAGACCAGGGACAGAATGTGTCCTTCAAGGGCATGTCCCCCAGTGACTTACATTCTTGCTCCACCTGTGCCTGACCTTCATAGTTAGCTCTCTGTTGCCTCCCAACATCCCGTTGAGATTGGTTCCATAGTGCATTGATTCATTCATGAGTTTAGAGCCATTTTAATTCAACCAATAACAACCCAAAGGCTCTATGACTCTGTGCATTAAAGAACAAACCTTCAACTCTAGAGTCCTGACGGTAACAATGAAGACACAAACCAGCCATCTGGGATTGCTAGACATATTATTTACTTGTTAATTGCTTTCCTACATACACTAACATCCATATGCACCAGATTAAGGAAACTTCCCAAAGGTAGGGATTTTGTTTATTATTTGCGTCTTCATAATTATTCACTGGTCCATAAAATGATATAAGTAGATTCTTTATCAATAACATATGAGAATATTAAAAGAATAAATGCTATTACCAAGGGATCAGACTTAGATGTTTGCATACATGTTTGCATTCATAACTTACTTGCCTTATGACTCTTACTGATTGCATCCTATAATGCTATATTGTTCAAATTCTTCCTAAACAGGATATTTTTATTACTTGGAGGGAACCAAAGATGCTCTCCTTTGTGGCTTCAGCACAGATTCTGGGTATGTAATATTTGCTTTGCTTTTAGTTGAAATGCTGCCAAAGAAAAGTTTCATGCTCAATAAGTACTTTTGATTCAATATTATAATTTTCATAAATTTCATGGCATTGATTTTGCTCATTTTATCTAACAATGAACAGAGATCTTAAAATGTTTATAGTTTATGCATGCATTGAAAAGCAAGACCAATCATGGGATAAGGCTTGAATCAAAACAAAATAGCCATCATGAGAATCTTGGAATATGCAAGAATACTTTCTAAAAGCCTATCAAAAATCAGTTGGCTAGTTTAAGACCTTACTTCTTGGAAAGAAGAATAACAAAATCAATATCTCTTTCCATTTCAAAGCTCTCCACTGCCTAATTCAATATGACTCATAGGTAACTGAGTATACTGCTCGGACCAATTTACACAGGATCCTGTGGACTAGCTATTTTCAGAATCTTCTGTTTATAAAACACCATTTTGATTTCTCCATACACCTTCAGTTTGCAGCAGAGCTTTGTTCTTGTTCTGCTTGCCAGCAAGGGATTTCTTCATCAGGCTCTGGAAACTCTTTGAACCTCAGAATCAACAGTGCTGCCCCTCCCACAAACGCTTCAGACACCTCGTTCATTGAAGGAGGCTAAAAACCAATCTGCCAGTTTTAGAAAGTAAAAAAGATTTAAAGCCAAAATTTTTTATGAGCATTCTCATATGTGGTATTATGACTGTTCTTGACTTTAATGCACCACAAGACTAAATTTCAAAGAAGCCATTTTGCCAGAGGCCTTCATAGCAAACCCTAATGATTTGAATTTATGACTATGTTGCTTATGAAATCTTCCATTTACTAAATGGTTCTATGGTCAGAGAGTGGGTTAATTGTGTTATTTAAATTCAAAGTCAATTTTAAATTCTTGAAGTAAGTTATTTTGCTATTCCCACTTGGAAGAATCTTTGAGAATTTAAGTAGTCCGGCAAAATGGTCAACTAGCAAATACTGAAATGGGAAGCAATGGCCATTCTTTCTGACCCCAGGTTACATTCTCTTAGTTGTTCTGCAATGTTCAACCTCTAAATTGATCCTTGAGGTTAACACTCTGCTATTGTGTTCCTTATCTACGCGCCAAACATATCCTGACATGTAATTCCCATTTGTATCTGTAGCCAATGTCCAGAAGGATACTACTGTGTGAAGGCTGGCAGAAATCCCGATTATGGCTACACAAGCTTTGATACTTTCAGCTGGGCCTTCTTGGCCCTGTTTCGGCTAATGACTCAGGACTACTGGGAGAACCTTTACCAGCAGGTGGGTGCCAACAGAATCAACCATCGCGAAGGCTGTCAGTGCCCAGTATGCATTGATTTCCGCCTTAGGAGCTGGTGTGGCTGCTGTTGCTTTCATTTCATTTCTGTGGACAGTATGGGAATCCCGACATGCGTGTCTAACATTAATTTATCCTGCTCGTATTAGAACAGATAGTTCTTAGATCATATATTAATTTTCTTCTATGTTCTGAGCAATGTTAATTTTTAGGTCTTCCTTAGTATCCGACACACCCTCAGGGTCCGGCGTAAAGGACAGAGAATATTGCAGTTTCTTGGGCTGTCTTTGCACACTCACCATTTCCTTCCCATGCCTAGGCTGTCAGAATCCTCGAGAATCTCCTGTCCTGTGCCCACCAGACCTTCCTGTACCGTGCCCACCAGACTCTCCTGTACTGTGCCCACCAAACCCTCTTGAACTGTGCCCACCAGACCCTCCTGAACTGTGCCCACCAGACCCTCCTGAACTGTGCCCACCAGACCCTCCTGGACTGTGCCCACCAGACCCTCCTGGACTGTGCCCACCATACATTAGGGTTGAACCCTTATTTACAATTAAACACTCAGTTCTTCTCCAAACCTTCCTCTTCCTTGTCAAATACTTCCTCTTCTGGATTCATGAACCTTTAACTATTCCTCGGCTTAAAGAGCAGTCTGCTATAGTGTTCAGTCCCATGGCCATGTACTCTAGCATGGATGTGAGGCACTTGCCACATGGTTTCTATGTGTATATTATATATTTTCAGTGCCCAATCCCAAGAGGGAGGTATTTGAAATGATAATTCTCTTATTTCATGTAACCATAATTCTTTTTTTTCTCAGAATTGTTACAAATACTTCTTTTGGCCTCCTTTATATTTACTTCTGTGACTATAATAAATGTTATAAAATTATTTAAAAATACCTTTCATCGGAAAGTAAAATTAATAGAAATATTTCAGAGGTAGGAACAGAATCTTAAAATGCTGTACTGTTGGGCCCAGGTCCTCCTTTGTCATACTGCAGAGTCTTCAGGTCCACCGTCATGGGACCACCATCGCAGTCCCCACCTTTATAAATATAGAAAAGAAGGGTATCTTAGCTCAAAGTTAAGGTCATGCAAAATAAAAGCATTGATATACAATTTTGCAAAGGGACAGCGAAAGATGGCTGTATTTAAGTTAAGATACAGAAGCTAGACTTTCTCACACATTGGTAGTAACCTTTGTAAAAAGTTAATGAAAACAAAAAGTTTCCAATGACCTAAAAGTTCCACTTCTATGAATTTATTCAAGAGAAAAACAGTAACAACAACAGAATGGTAGAACAGGGAATAGAGTAAATATTAAGGACTCCAGATGTGTATAAGTTCCACTGACATCTCTATACAGTTTTGCATTATTCTAAAAATGGAATAGATGGCAGAAGATAACCTGCATTTAAAAATTATTAATGGTAATGCTAGGTAAAAATAAATAGCCATGGAGTCAACAGATAAATTTAATTGGTAAAGCAATCTGTCGGCATCAAGGTTTAAAACAATAACCTATGCTTTAGAAAGGAAAGGATAGGACTTGAACAATAAAGGGGGCCTGTTTGAAAAATTAAAAGGCAGCATGAGAGCTAAAGTTACCAGTAATTTAAAAACTGTGGAAAATGAAAAATTGTTATGCTGTATTTAATACTAATGATCAAACCGTAGTACCAACTGTTACGTTGCTATATCTTTTATAGTATTATAACAAGTTTGATTAATACTGATTGTCTTCAAATATATTGTTTTCATTTATATTTCTATAATATGAAATTATACAAAATATTTGATTTGCATGCTCTTTATCTATCAACCACAATGAAAAATGTCGTAAAATTTTTGCATTATTAAAATAACAATTTCCCTCCCTACCCCCAGACTCTACGTGCTGCTGGTAAAACCTACATGATTTTCTTTGTGGTGGTGATCTTCCTGGGCTCCTTCTACCTCATCAACTTGATCCTGGCTGTGGTAGCCATGGCGTACGAGGAACAGAACCAGGCCAACATCGAGGAAGCTAAACAGAAAGAATTAGAATTTCAGCAGATGTTAGACCGTCTCAAGAAAGAGCAGGAAGAAGCCGAGGTCAGTGTTTGTCACTACAAATATGAAGGCAGAGGGGAGACAACGGTCCTTTCCACATAGATTCTCCTGATTTCTGCAGACTATACTCGACGTTGGCTGAAAGCCCAAGTAGCATTTCCTGTGTTCTGTGTGAATTGCATCCTTTTTTCTAATGTGCTTGAAGGAATGAGCTATAAACAGAGCTAGAGCGGACACCTTCTTCAATAGGATTATGATATCTTTGTGTCTTGACATTGTACTCATCTATAAAAGTATACATTTTTTGAGAAAATTTTGTAATGAGGAAAATGTTGCTGAAATAATCGTGGGTGTAATAATAGACAGGACACAATCATAATTTAACTGTTAGACTAATACATACATGACCTGGAGAAGTAATACCACAACTCTTTTCTGAGGGTAAGACTGAAAGTATTTTTCTACTTTACATCTTTACATCTAGTTTCCTTAAATGATTTTCCTTTAGTCTTGAGAATTTTATACACATATACAATGAAATATTCATACCCACTCAAACCTATAACCTCACTCTCCCTTTCTCTAACTCTCCCAGTCTGCCTCTCCCAATTTCAAGCCAATCTTTGATAACCTTCTAAGTCTGACTAGTGCTACCCATAAGTACTTGATTAGGGGTCATGCCCTGCACCATGGGAAAACTACCAATGGCCATACACACGAAGAAATAAAAATGATTCTCCCTGTCCCAGGTGCCCCAACTGCCAAAAACACTTCTATAAAGGGCATGGCCCAGAGAGTACCTTCCTCATTTTTCCTGAATTTTGCTTGGCTTGCTCTTGTACAGGTCTCACACAGGTAGCCTCAGTTGTTCTAAGTTCTTGAGTGTGATAACCACATTGTACCCAGAAGTCAACATTTCAAAGGTCTAATCCCTGTTCTCTGGCTCTTGCAGTATCGTTGCCTCCTTTTCTGTGTTTTCCCCTGAGCCTGGCTGGGTGTAAGGAGGGAGGTTAACGAATGTCCCATTTAAGAATGAACACTCAGTTTCTTGTTCTTAGTACTTAGAACAATCATGCATTCCTGCATTAACTGTTTCCCCCTGCAAAAATTACCTTCTATTACCAAGGCTGAGGACAGTCCAAATATGTGAGTATTGACATAAATACTTAGAAGACAACTTAGCAACGTGCCATTTAGCAAAATAACTGGGGAAGTCATAAACCCCAGGGTAGAACCTAGATAGAACTTTTATTTTATTTTCAGAAAGCATTTATTTGTTTGTTTGTTTCTCTATTTTTTTTTTTAGTGAGGTGAGACCGTTACCTTCTCTCCCTGGTAATTTAGTTTTGAGATCTCACTTTTGAGATAAGAATCATTGACTTTATACTTTTTCTTAACACTTTATTTCCTTATTAACATTTCTATTTTCAGACATGCCACTCTAACTAGGCTATGGGGTTCCTGACTCCATTGATCACCCTGAGTTGCTTACTTGATCTTCAAACTCATTATCTTAGCACACAGTTTATGTGAGTTTTATATCGCAAAAGTACCTGTAAAACTTCGACACATAATACTTCAGTTTACTTAATTCTAGGGAAGTTCACAACATGAAAGAGTTGCATTACAAAGATACTGAAACTTTATTATAATATGTGAGAGAAGAGACTATGCTTCACATGCTAATTGGCCATAACACAACAGAACACAGGTTACTTTCTGGACAAGATTTGTAACTGAATGTCCAGGTTGGGTAACCCGAGGCTTGTTTTTTCAAGATTTGGAAATTACTTAAATGCTGGGATTGTCTTGGTCCAACAGGCCATCGCAGCAGCTGCAGCTGAGTACACGAGTATTGGGCGGAGCAGGATGACAGGTCTTTCGGAGAGCTCTTCAGAAACCTCCCGGCTGAGCTCCAAGAGTGCCAAGGAGAGACGAAACAGAAGAAAGAAAAAGAACCAGAAGAAGATCTCCAGCGGCGAGGAAAAGGGCGACGATGAGAAACTGTCCAAGTCAGGATCGGAGGAAAGCATCCGAAAGAAAAGCTTCCATCTCGGCGTGGAAGGACATCACCGCTCCCGGGAGAAGAGGCTGTCCACTCCTAACCAGGTACTAACTGACGCCACCAGGCGAGGCTGCACAGCCAAACGCCAGTGCAAAGCTTAACCCTGGAGTCAGGGCCCAGGAGAGGAAGGGGACTTCACCACCACATTTTACCTAAAATGCTGCCTTTGGCTGGGTGTTTATGGAAAGAAGAGAGATGTATATGGTTTTCTCAATTAAGTTGCCATTTTCATTTTCATAAAAAGCTATTGTTTCAGAATTGCCATATCTTCCCTAAGAAGCGTTTTTCTAAAATAAAATGTTTCTGCAAATTGCTCTAGGAATGAAGAGATTGTTTACAACACAGATTAATTCTCATATTTGTATTTTGTCAATGTTTTTAATACCTCACTCCTGATAAAAACAGGAGGAGAGAAAGAAGGGAGGGAAGGAAGGAAAACCATAATCCTAAAAGTAATTCCTCTGTCTTTTTCTGTCCTGTAGACCAGCATGAACCAAAGCAGCAGGCAGACAATTTTTAATATTGTCCATTTTTTTGTTTTCTTCCACTCCAAGCTCAGAAGCTTCTGGTTGACTAATAAATGAATTCCTCACCTGTGGATTTTCCCTCTCACTGTCTTGGTCTTTACACTGACACCTCTACACCCTGGTCCCCCTGTAACCCATCAGATGAGCCATGACTCCAGAGCTACCAAACATTTACACACTGTCCAACCCCACCTCAATTGTTGACAAGACAAAAATATACATAGGGGTTTGGTACTCTATTGAATAAACACTGAAGATCAAGAATTGATCTTATGCAGATGACAAATTGCTTTGACTTCACCTGCTCAGCTTCCTTTACTTTCCTGGCTTCTTCGTTTCCCATAACTGAGATACTCACTATTACCTGACGAATTTCACGCCTTCCCTTTCTCTATTACTTAGTACATATTTTTCCCCTTTCAGTTATTTCTTTTTCTTTTCAAACTCTCTATATAGCCAAGAATGACCTTGAACTTCTGACCTCATCCCTTCTACTTCTCCAGTGCTGGCATAGTAGGTATTGGTCACCATGGCCAATGCAGTGCTGGGATTTGAACCAAAGACCTTATACAAACTAGGCAAGCATACTACCAACTTAGCTATGTCCCCAGCCCAGTCTGCTTCTTACTGATAACTTTCTTCATTAATTTCTTTTGACACAGCGGCACCCCACCTTCTACTATTTAGCTCAAGTACCCCACCCCCATAACCCTACACATCTTCCTCTGTCGTCTGCATTCCTTAATCTGGGGTTCCAGACCTGGCCCGAGATATCTGCCATTATCATCTTCACCACAGTTGGAAGTTTCCAGCTTCTGTTACTTAGGTGTGAAGCACAGACGTAAAAGACAGTCAGTCCTTGTCAGCAAACACGGCACAGGCTAGGATAGGCAAGGATAGGCAGCTAGAATCCTCATGATGCTAATGCAAGGAAAGACAAGAGGTAGTTTCGGCTTGTTCTGAGGCAAAGCGCTTCCCTGTCATATTCATTTTCCACTGTTCCCAGTGCCTGCCACCTGCCACGTAGCTTTAAAATAGCAAGCACTAATGTCTATTGAATTTAGTAATTCTAAATAATCTACCCTGTGTTTTCACTTATGGAATCAGATTACACTGCAGAAGAGTCATATGAAGGGGTCAGCTTTCCATTGTTCCCTTGGGAGCAACTTCCATCTATCCCGAAGTTGCTATAGTCCCTGTCTCATAATTTCCTTGACTACTAGGTCCTCTAAAGCATACCCAACTAGCCTCCAGTCTATAAACTGAAGGGTTCTCACACCTTAGAGTGGATGAGTTTTAGTGCTAGAACTGGGGCAAGTCCTTTACAAGGTTCTGGGAATAGATTCTTCTGATTGTTTCAGCCTTTTCTTTCTTTTTTTTTTTTCTAGAATTGATCTTTTTCTTGAATTGCCTTTCTTTTAAATACGATTCTTTTAAATAAACACAGCGTCGCTGGCCCCAGACTAACGATTTGGTGGTAATTTCACGAAGTCTTCTCGCATTTGGAGCTCCAGCATCCACTCTCTGTCTTGTTTTTCCTACAGTCACCACTCAGCATCCGCGGCTCCTTGTTTTCTGCACGGCGCAGCAGCCGAACGAGTCTCTTCAGTTTCAAGGGTCGAGGAAGAGATCTCGGATCTGAGACAGAGTTCGCTGATGACGAGCATAGCATTTTTGGAGACAACGAGAGCAGACGGGGTTCACTATTTGTGCCTCACAGGCCTCGGGAGCGACGAAGCAGTAACATCAGCCAGGCCAGTAGGTCCCCACAAATGCTGTCGGTGAACGGGAAGATGCACAGTGCGGTGGATTGCAATGGCGTGGTGTCGCTTGTTGACGGACCTACAGCCCTCATGGTCCCCAATGGACAGCTTCTTCCAGAGGTGATAATAGATAAGGCAACTTCCGACGACAGCGTAAGGATGTTTTCCATAGCTCAGGCATGCCTGGGCAATTACTCGTGCATCAGTCAGTCTCTCTGCTGGGGGGAGTGGGGGGATGGGTCAGCTCTCTAGCCTGTGAATGGCTCTGTGCTTGGCGACGCCTTCTCTGTGAAAACACGGCTTTCATTCATAACTCAATCCCCACGAGTTAGGTGCTGCAACCACCCAACTAAAAGATATTTTATGGGGCTAGAGAGATGGCTCAATGAGTAAGGGCCCTTGGCACAACACCACGGAAGTCAGGCAACTCACAAAAGTAACCACTGTACAAGTCTGGCTCCAGGGTTTCTGGCTCCCTCTAGTGGCAGCCGTGGGTACTGCATGCACATGTGTATAAAAACGCAGACACAAATACACATAATTAAAAACTTATACATAATTCTTAAGTTAAAA